ATTTAAACCTATTTTCAGCACATTCCAGCACATAAAATAAAATATTTTTTTGTGTTTACACTCACTCTTTCAAATAAATGCAAGTGAAACACAGCAGAAAATAAATAAAATCAAAGACTAGCGGTCCTGGTGCTCTATTTTCACCTGTACAGCAGGAGGAGCGTAGGCGGAGGTTTACCCTGGTGAAGGTGTGCCGCAGCCGTCAGTGGAAGAATCCGGGAATTTCTCTGTGAATTTCACATTACGTGGTAGCGCACTCGGTGCTTTCTCGGAAGTTAAGGGGTTTTCTTCAACAGACGCTAATGTTTTTGTCACTTTTTACGGAATCAAACTCAAAGTAAGGTCAGTACTTCCATGCTTTAAACGCTGCATGCTCATACTCTCTCCCGCACTCGATATATTATCCATTGTTGATTTGCACACAGCTATTGCCACGTCGCACTCGCTTACGTCATTGTCATGAGACACTCTCGCAAGAAAATCACGGTTTTAGTAACGCAGTAACGCAGTAATGCAGCGTGCTTATGGGAAAGTAACGGTAATCTAATTACCGTTTTTGCAATAGTATCCCTTACTTTACTCGTTACTCGAAAAAAGTAACGCGTTACTGCCCATCTCTGGTCAAGCTCTTCTTTTTTTCCACATTGTCGTGCCCTTTTCCCAGGTTTGTATCTTTCCTCACAGCCGTCTTTCTGACGCTTGTATCAGAGTAGCAGGCGGCTCACCCTGCATCCTCCCAGCGCCTCAGCAGCCTGCCAGATAAGAAACAGGAGAGGAAAGGAAGTGCTAGCTAATATAGCTGCCTCAGACATCAGTTCTCCTCCGCTTCCCCTCCAGATGAATACACAATCAATACAACAATGAATTAATAATGAAAGATGTAGAACAACAACCCTGCACGGGCTGTCTTTATTTCCAGCCCCAAGTCACTTCCTCTTTGGGGTGATGATGTTGCAAGAAGCAAGGTGACTCGTTTGGACTTTTTCGTGCCTCTGGCATATGGAAATGAACACAAACCGAGACTACCCCCCCACGTCGCTTCTTTTGCTTGTTGAACGTGCAGGTGCTAAACAACTTATGTGACTTGTCGAAGCTAAAGTGTGCGGACGTTGGTTTGCGATAGATCGACCTGTTGTTTCTGCGAAGGTGCAAGAAATCGCACCTCTCGCACTTCGTCTCTTTCCTTTCCAGTCTGTCTCTTCAGCTGCGCTCAAGGCACAGGGGAGACAGCTTAGCCCGCACAGAGAGGATTGGCTGTTTCCAAGTGTGCAGTGTGTATCTCTCTGTGTGTGTGTGAACGTGTGAATGCCATTGGTGGAGGTTCAGACATTCTTCAGGATGACACTTTGTAGTCCTAATTGGCAGATCACTCTAACTTCAGATAGAAACTCATGACAGCAGAGGCACAAATAAAGAAAAAAGTGTTAGAACAAACAAAAGAAAGTAAGGGAAGGAAAGTGAGGCAGGCGCATTACTTCAAGCTCACCTTTCACAACACAGACCTTAATTGCTTTGAGGCTGGAGCTCAGGCAGTTTCACCTGCAGTAGCAGGAATAAGCAAGATTAAATGAAGCTTAAAAGCAAAACTAAATGGTGAAAAGTATGCATTTTCAGCTTATCTCTCAAAAAGGCCAAATACGTTCTAACTATATGCAGGATCCTCTACGTTTTTGCTTTGCCTCTCATTTTACTATTCATGCAGCTCTGTCTGGACAGCCCGAGTGCTTTGTGATACCCAGCATGTAACAGAGTGGGAGGCCTGGAGCTCCAGGAGGAGCCAGCAGCATCTGCTTCCATGGACTCCATCCAGAAACAAATAGGAAGAAAATCCCACAATTCCCGAGGCTAAATGCGATAATGTTTGATGCTAAACTGAGATGAAAGGTGGTAGGAGTAAAAAAAAAAATGCATCCAAGAGGTAAATTAGATTTGCAGCTAAGCATACCAGCAAGGAGAAAACTAAACTGTACACACAGAAGGAAGCTTTTAAACCCGATGAGCAAAAATGAGTCCGACCTTGTAGATTTTCCATTGAGCGCGACCTGGAGGAAGCAGGGGTTAAATATCCC